ATGGAGTGGTTAACTATTGCAAGTAAATCTTGAGGTGATACTTTATGGATTATTTTTATTACCGATACAGTTATTCCATCGGACCTGGAGCGGAATAGGTAATATTTAATATAGGTAATGTAACTAACGCAAACGACCAAATCAAAATTAATCGCTGTCTGCAAGCCTTGCATAATTGGTGCACCCAGTGGGGGATGGAAATTAACTTTTCAAAGACTACGTTCACCCATATAACTAAGAAAAAATCCGTACTCGCATATGATTATAAAATCTAAAATTGCCTTCTGACCAGAACACACAGCTTTAAATACATGGGGGTGACTATTACCAGCGATTTGGGGTGGCACACTCATGTTGAGGAGGTGTGTTCAAAGGCCTACAGGAAGTTGTTTTACATGAGAAAAAAACTCGAACATGCCCCTAGAGATGTCAAATTACTTTCATATAAGACATTTCTTCGCCCTATTTTGGAGTATGCGTCTTCTGTATGGAGTCCTCATCAGCAGTCACTGAGAGATAAAATAGAAAAAATTCAAAGGCTAGCAGTGCGCTTCATTTGCTCGCGGTACCGGAGGACAGAATCCGTCACAAATTTGTTAAAATCATGTGCGCTAGAACCCCTGCAAGTGCGCCGCGAAAAGCAAAGGTTAAAACTCCTGTTTCAAATTATAAGAGGCGAAATCAAAATAAATAAATACACATACATACAACCTGCACCCAAACGAGGAGCTCGGTTGAACCATAGTCACCCAATAAAGCCTTTTGGGGCGCGTCTGGATGGCTTTAAATATTCTTTTTTTCCGTATAGTATAGAAGTGTGGAATAGACTTCCAGAGTACGCTGTTACTAGCGCAAATGTCGAAGAGTTTGAGTGTTCGCTAGAATTGTACTACCGGCAACATGAAACGTAATGTCTGTTTTGTCATTGTGTATAGTTTTTGTTTTGTGTTTATATTTCTCCCTGTAATGACCCTCAAGTGAGGGTTACAGTATTAATAAATAAATAAATAAATTAATTAATTTTTCACTACTTGTGCTATTTCTGACGCTGTAACCTCTTTAAACTCATCGCTGTTAACAGGGCACGGCGAGTGGTAAAAGTTAGCAGCCGTGAGGCGGCTTTCCAGCCCTTGAGCAATATTTTCCGGAATTGTAGGCAACTCACGTGGCGTTGAAACTATCGATTCGAGGTTTCGTGATGGTGGGATTACTTTTTGGGCTAAGGAAGTTGAAAAGTGATTTCCTGTGGCCAGGCTTTGAAAGGAACTCAGAACGTTGGCTATCATAGTTATCCTTCGCAGCGGCAACTGTTCGCTTAAAAATTGCAGCCGTGTATTTGTATTCGCTCCAGTTTCTAGGGCACTGATTATAGAGCAGTTTTCGCCACGCTTCTTTTCTTAGCCAGTAATGACGTGAACAGTCAGTGTTCCACCAATGATTCAAAGGGCGTTGTTTAGAGACCTGAACTGTGAATTTAGCTTTATTTAAAGATTGTTTTATAACATCATTAAGGTTGATAACATTTCACTCTTTACTTACCTCAGTTCGTCTTGACAAACCACACGTAGTGTCTGTTCAAATGTATTAAAATTGATGTGAAAAGTGGGCCGCCAGACTATTGAAGTCACGGGACATACAAGCTCGAACAATATAGGAAAATTATCGCTATTTGTACCCCAGTTTGAAGTGAATGTGTTGTCCGGAACGCACTTGTTCTTTATCGCCATAAGAATAATCGTCAGAGGTGGCTACGGCGCACAACGCCATAGGACAAACCTTGACCTTAGAGAGCATCGCCCCTACAACTCGACATACCAGAATCGACGTCCAGGAGTGTCTAGAACATATAATGTTTTAAAGCATCTACAGAAAATCACCTTTGCATCAAAGTTCTGCTTTTTTTATTCTGGGAGCACAGCACAACAGTGTCTTTTTTTAATTTTTATTCAAACTACAACTATCTCACATTGCTGCTGCCGTTGTCCTCCGAACGCTGGACAGCACTTTTTTTTGCTGACCCATAAGAGCCATCCTGTCCAAATGATATGTGTAGTTTCACAACAGGTAAAAAATACGAATATTCTATCGGTTTGATTTTCTGATGCTGGTACATTTACATATTCAGTTAAACAGCTAGAACAGGGGACATTGACATGCGGAAAATGAACAAGTGGTGTAGTCACAGTTTACAAAACGCGTCATTTATTTTTCACATGGTCCAATAAAATATTCTGCATGTTGTTTCGGCGTTCTGTCTGTTCAATGTTTTAATTTTTTTTACATTTTGGTTTCTCGGCATTTCTGTCTGTCTGTCCGTCTGTCTGTCTGTCTGTCTGTCTGTCTGTCTGTCTGTCTGTCTGTCTGTCTGTCTGTCTGTCTGTCTGTCTGTCTGTCTGTCTGTCTGTACATTTGTTTGTTTGTCCACTCTGAACTGCACCGGGTACTTCAAATGACCTACCCCATCCGCAGCACCCACCAATGTTGCTCAAGATTCAGCGTTCATATTTGTGCAATTGTCAATTAAACAGCAATTACTGCGTATGTCTGAAGCACCATAAGAACACGTATATATTCTGCATGTGCGTCCTCTACTAGAAAAGGCATATATAAGTAATGTTAAGCACCGTAGCTTTTCTTGCGCAGAACGTCAAATAAACGCTTTGTTCACTCTCTCCACACGCAAGACTATCGTCTTTCAACGACATTTGCAGATTAAAATGCAGATACGGTTTCAATTTTTCTCTCTTGCGCACCATCACTAGGCTTCCACGTTCGGCACGCACTTCGTGCCTCACCTTTACTCAAGACACAACCCCCCTTAAATATGCTTCAGGCAAAATTTTTCATCCATCGTCTTCAGCCACAGAATGAAGAACTGCACGAAATTTTTTGCAAGTGTGAAGCGGGTAGCACGCTTCTCCGAAGAATGACAGAAGATGACATAGTGAATGCCTGCCTACTACACAAAAAAATTTTTTGATTATATATAGCATAGTGGGTACTCCGCAAGTGTACTTGTAGCAGTTACCGAAAAAAAAGAAAACAAAAGGCTTTCTCCGCTGCCGCTGTGACTGTTACGCATTCTGCTCAGACCTGGCGTTTTTTTTTTTTGTGCAAGCATTCTCCAGTCACAACGTATGTTTCGCCTGTTGCAACCTCTCAGTGCAGTGGGTGCCGGAGTATTCTGGATCTTTCGCGCACGACGCGAGTAGCTCAGTTTATTCTGGAGCTATAGCACCACCAGGGTTGGTGCTGGAATGTATGATGACGCATCACAAAAGACAGGCTTTTTACTAACCAACAGATTATAGACAACTGAGGACTGTGGTCGTCCCTGTCACAGTACTGTAAATGTTACTTCCTTGCACTGCGATTGTGCCGTTCTCTGACGGCAGCTTCACCGCAGTAAGCAAATCGACGTTTACCTATTTGACTAATTTGGCATTCCCAACGTCACAACCACTGAGCAGTAAAGTGTTTATACTTCACAAATTCTCAAATATTAACTTACGAATGTTAACTTTAAATTAGTTTTCATTTTAAAGAAAATGCGAGGGTATATCTATAATTGTTCTATTGTGTCCAATTCAAATGCATCAACTGCACGCCTTCAAATTTTTTTTCTTGGATGGATGGATGGATGGATGGATGGATGGATGGATGGATGGATGGATGGATGGATGGATGGATGGATGGATGGATGGATGGATGGATGGACGGACGGACGGACGGGCGGGCGGGCGGACGGACGGACGGACGGACGGATGGATGGATGGATGGATGGATGGATGGATGGATGGATGGATGGATGGATGGATGGATGGATGGATGGATGGATGGATGGATTGAATGAATGAATTTCATTCGGGCCTTGATTGTAGCTACAGATCAGTTAACCTCCTCCTGCTTATTTCTACCGATTTAAAGCCTGCTTTGCCTTCACTGGCCCTAAACACCAATGTTTCGAAAAATTCCACGCCATTATCCCTTTACAGAACATTATTAAATGTTCAGCCGTTTCCTCCCCCTCTCCACACGCACTACATAACGTGTCAGGGCCTTCGTATTTGGCTGGGTACGTCTTGGTCCGCAATACTCTTGTTCTGACCTCGAGAAGCAGGGAAGTACCCCAAGAAGAATCGTATATTTTTTTGCAATTTCCTGCTTCAATGTTCGGTATCTCGAGTGATAATTTCGTCAGCATTCCGAAATTCCACCTGTTCCTCTCTGTTTCCTTCACCTTCATCTGAACCGATGTTTACTTTAGGCTTAGTATTCTGCTGTTTAAATACTTGTTTGACTATTTTCGAGTTCGCGTCCTCCATTTTGTATCAACATACTTCATTTAAAAGTAGCTGAAAACTTTTCTAGCCCCGTGTTCAAAAACGTCCAGGGCGTCTCCTAACTGCGAGCTTTCTTTCTTCCTTCCTTTACGAGCATTCCATGCAACGTGCAGCTTTCCTATCTGTTTCTCTTTCGTTCTTTCACTCTTGAAGTGCACTTCATGCACCTCCTCTACTTTCGACTCTCTGGTTGACAGAATAAAGTAGACGTTGTAACTGCAAAATGGGGTTCATCTCGTACAACCTGGCTATACAGAACATTGGTGAACTACGCCCTTTCAGCTACACGTGATTAATTTAGTCCCAGAAAGAGGGCACGAGTTGTTCCTTGAATGATATGTTCTGAGTGAACACAGAACAAGTAAACGTTGCCCACACCAAATTGTGCGATTACCAAGGAACGAGCTCACACTAAACATATAAACTAACAGGGCTAGGGCTTGGAAAAGGCTCAGAAACTTGGTCAAGATATATTATTTGTTCTCTCCTTAACAACACGCTAAATACAATGAATTTCCCGAGTTCTCATAGGCCATACACTACTTTTATATGGAACCTTGAGAACACACAATATATTGAACCAAAAATCAAGATGGCTGATGTGAACATTTATTCGTGCTGCTAAGGTTGAATTAAGCAGCGACTCTAATGTAAGAGGAGCCCTTAAATGATGTAAATAACATTCTTCATTATTAAATCGCTGCTTCTTTTTTTACCCGAATAGCTTCTATAGTATGATTGTGGTCTTCAATTATCATCTTCGCTCCTCTGTCGCCGATCATCAATACTGCAGCATTGATGTTGCCGGATGTGATTTGGGGCATCACTGAAGCGTCAATGACTCTCACATTTTGTAATCCTCTGACCCTGTGTTTGAAATGGAGAAAGACATTCAATTTGCTATCATTAATGATCAAAACAAATATTTACTTACTTGAGTCTTGAATCGACAACTGAGCGGTTGTGCTCTCCCATAGCGCAAGTGCAGCAGACATGTTGTCCAGGGAAAGCAGCCTGTCGGACAAAACAGTCTATGTACTCCTTGGACCAGATGGTGTAATTCTTGCAGTAAGGGTAAAAGCCATCCCATATTTTCGCGCCAATGGCTTGCATGGCCGATGTATTAAAGAGTTTCATTATTTTAATCGTACCTGTAAAATATTTTTTTCAGCGATAAATTCACAAGAGCAGTTGAGCGATTTTAGTTGGCATAAATGGGCTCGAAGTTTTGACGAAATGAAAACTATATAGGAACCCACAGGAAAGAAAACTTCGGTTCTTAATGGAAAGATGTTTTTCATGCATGCTTGCTGAGTCTTTCTCTCCTTTATGCTCGAAAAAATAGATTGACCAGGAAGAAATATTGCATGTTTTTTTTTTTTTGGGGGGGGGGGGGGGATTTGAGCAGTTAGTACCGCAGAAATTCACTGGTTGTCTCGAAAATATGGCACTCGAACTTGAGATATTCTTCTCTATTTCTTGCATGGCTGGCGAACCAACTTGTTAATAGCAACTGGGTTTCTGCTTTTTTTTTGCATTGGCTAATTAAAACCGGGCTGTATAACGAGGCTTAGATTCTGTGGCTTTCATACTGAACGTCAGTTTGTAACTTTTAGGTTTAGTTTCTATAACCGTAAATACAGCGTTTATTAAACCACCAAGCAACTTCTCTTAGGCAATCGGTTGCAACTTCTGTTAAGTACGAGATTATCCCCAAAAAGACGTTTCTAGATTTAAATTGACGATAGTTTGAAGTGGCTCTGCAACAGTTTTTGAACATGAAGACAAGCGAGAATTCAAGGTCGCTTTAGTTGCACCCTTTAAAGGGGCTTTGCAACCCTTTTTGAGTATATAAGTAAACACTGCCAATCGGTAGTTGAGAGACCTGAGAATGCGCGTGCCAAATATTATAGCGACGAACGTGGCCCAGAATTTAAATAAGATCTCAAAGTCAGCTAGAAATGACTTTCTCTTCACTCGACAAACATGACGCTACAGGCTCATAATCGCTACGTCCAAGGCCTAGAATGAGACATTGGTTGATTCCAGCACGGTGCGCTTGGTCGTTACTGGAGCCATCGCGAAAGGCCGCAATTAGTCCACGTCGGTCCGCGCGATTGCACTGAGAAGCAGCGCATTCGAAAGAGAGAGAGAGAGAGTGCTCTAAGACACGAGGCAAGCGTGACGTATTTCGCCGATGCATTATTCCCTGCTCAGCTTCTAGAGCTTTCGTCGGGACTAAAGAGAATGCAATTTTGTAACTCCGCTCGTACTGGAGGAATTGTGAAAATTTATCAGCGGTGAACTTGTGAGACAATAAACTTTTTTAGTGAATCCATTCCATCATGCCTACTTAGAAAAGTGTTGCAGGACCCGTTTAACCAAAAATAGCAGGATTTATATAGGGGCGTTCGCTCACGTGCCTATATGTTCGCTGCAGTCCGTGAATTAGCGAATGAATGAATGAATGAATGAACTTTATTTATATTCTTGCAGTGCACTTCATAAATATTAACTGAATAATTGATTGATGGAGCGATAGATAGATAGATAGATAGATAGATAGATAGATAGATAGATAGATAGATAGATAGATAGATAGATAGATAGATAGATAGATAGATAGATAGATAGATAGATAGATAGATAGATAGATAGATAGATAGATAGATAGATAGATAGATAGATAGATAGATAGATAGATAGATAGATAGATAGATAGATAGATAGATAGATAGATAGATAGATAGATAGATAGATAGATAGATAGATAGATAGATAGATAGATAGATAGATAGATAGATAGATAGATAGATAGATAGATAGATAGATAGATAGATAGATAGATAGATAGATAGATAGATAGATAGATAGATAGATAGATAGATAGATAGATAGATAGATAGATAGATAGATAGATAGATAGATAGATAGATAGATAGATAGATAGATAGATTTAAATGTTGGGGATAACGTCCTAAAACCACCATATGATTATTAGCCGCGATTCGATACCGCGACCTGCGGGTCAGCAGCCGAGTACCCTTAGCCACTAGGCCACCGTGGCGGGGCTACTAACTGAAGAAAGCAGATGCAGTTATTGTTATATTGACACGGACTACAAGTGTAGCAGGGTAGCAGCTAGGAGGCCGTCATGAGTCAATTTCAATTTTAAATTTGTTTATCTGAGACATGTACTTACTGACACACTTACACAACATAAACACTTACATGAAAAATACTTACATAACACACAAACATAAAGCTACAAACATTTTGCACCACTTTAACAATTGATTTTAGCCTTAGTACTTCTACCACTACCCATGTGCCCCTAACCACCATTGTAAATTATGCATTCTCTGTACTTTTTTTCAGGGGCGGAGCTACTTAGAGCGGCTATTCCTCCCTCGTAGTAGTCATAGTCGTAGTCACAGTGTGTAACCAGTCTTACGTTTTCACCTGCAAGGTGGTGCCACTGGGAGATTTCTCCTGTGCGTTGTTGAACAATAGAAAATTCGCAGCGTGCGCATGAACTAAAAGCTGAATTCTCCTGTCTCTGATTCCCCATTAGAAGTCATTGGCATGTACATTGAGCACTATCTGACAAGAAAGGCTTGCTACGTTATATAAGCTGGGCGTAACCTCCTCGGTTTTAGAAAGGTTTAGCGAGCGTTGAGCTGCAGTGTATTGAATACAGTGAACTAGTATATACCAAGAACTCGAGGTGGTTAAAGGTGGAAAGTAGACACAAAATGCAAGCTGTAAGAAACTGTGCGTGTGCCACCTTTCGTTTAGTCCTTGGAATGTCCGCTGGATGACGGTGCTTCTATATGGGGAGCATGCGCCCGTCCGTCCATCTAGCGAATACTCCGAGTACCGCTATCTCGCTTTTTTATCATATATTCATCATATACAAGTAGCGCCATCCTGCGGACAATCCAAGGACTAAACGAGAGTATGTACCACATTTCTGCTGCTGGGGAGACGCTTCTCGACCGACGAGTTGGAAGGTTGTCACGGCGCGCTGCTGCAACGAGCGCTTCTGGCGTCTGTCAGTGGTTCTCTTGTTCCGCTCATCACGTAGGCGGCTCCCCTTGTAGGGGAGCCCACCTAAGAAAGGAGATGATCGCACAGTCAAGATTCTAACCCCTCAGCCAACTGGATGATGCTTCTAACAGCCAGCCAGCGGACCCCACCATCCAATGATCATCCCAGTCAGGGCTACCGAGCAACACACCATCATACGGTTCCACCACCGCAGGGAAGCAAGTAAGCCCGCATCTTTTTGCTGAGCGCAATCCGGCATCCGAGCATACAGCTATGGACGACCAGGAAAGCTGGACTGTAGTTTAGAACCGAAAACTCCCGTGACCCAAGCCACAGACCTTATTTGAGACCATAATGTTGTGGCCTAAAGCATTTAACGTCACCCAGATTCCACCATACCAGTTTGCGTATAGACTTCGCCTAAGTCTTTCCCAAATTAAGGGGTCGGACATTCACTGCAGACTCCTCACCAAGTCTAACCTAGCAGTAGTTTATTGCTACATAAAGCAAGCTGCACATCTACTGCTGAATCTGGAGCACCTGATCATTGACGATCAAATCGTGCAGTTTAATACGTATGTTGTGCTCCATGAAGGGCGCATAAGAAGCGTCATTCACAGAATCAAGGAATTACCTGAAGAGCAGTTAATGCAAGGCCTTGCAAGTTCAACTCACGAAATCGTGTCAGCACGGTTCCTCACGTTGTCTATACAGCACTAATCATGTTCAATGATTAAAACCTGCCAGATTACGTGGCTTTCGAATCAGTACGTTTCCCTGTGCACAAATACAGACCCAATATAATGTCATGCTTGAACTGCTTAGGTATAGGACACAGAGCTGACGTTTGCACGACCCCGAAAAAGAACCCAGGAGTTTGCACAAAGTGCCATACGAAACATGCAGAGGTTTTTATTTCTAATCCGAAATGCATACACTGCAGTGGACTCCACGACTCTCACTCGCCCCACTGTCCAAAGGTAGCAGCAGCCACTGCTGCTCTTTGTAAGCGAGTGACCAAACCACACAAGCCAGCGTCACCCTATTCCTCACGAAACCGCTGCGCATCAGGCAAAAAGACCAGACGCAACAGTCAGGGGAACAAAACTTTCCGTCTCTTGCAACCGATCAACTAACCACAGACGCGCCCGCAGTCGGCAACACAACCTCCGACGCAGCTAGCGTCCCCCGCCACATATGCAGCTAAGGTGCATAACGCGCAGTCTTCACCTAATGCCTCCCCTGCACCACAGACGCACCCAATCGTTCTGAAAGAACTAGTGGAACTACAAGACACTCGAAAGAAGTATCTGCAAATTATCAGTGACCAACAGAAAACTGTTGATGAACTTAACACTGTTATTATCATATTGAAAGAACAAAACGCTGCCAGAGACGCTCCGACCTTGAGTCAAGGGCAACTCCCACCCGAGCATGAGCAGTACGAGCGTCGCTTTGAGCAATTCGCTGCACATCTACAACACATGCAACACATTATTGAGACGCTCAAACCAAAAACGTCGGTTAAAACGCATCAAGTTTATTGCCAGTGCAGATCAAGAAGAAACCATAGATTCAGAAACATGCCTCTGATAATTCAGTAGAACGCGAGAAGCCTTCCTAAAAAAGTTGATGACTTCCTTTACATCATAAATTCTCAACAAAACTTCCTATATCAATTGCGTGCAGAAGCTGGGTAAATATTGCCCCATTCTAGGCTATGCTGGCGTTTCATCTGGCCGATGAGTTACGTATACAAAGAAGAACCTTCCGGTGGTCCAATACCTTCTTTCTTCAGTTTCATTCTCGGGCATTCAGACTCGTACCGAAATAGAGGGCAAGACATACGAAATATTAAACTGCTACAGCCCTCCAAAATCAAGTTATGTGGAGCTCCCCCTCAGTAAAATAGACACTAATGGCCTAGCCTTAATTCTTGGAGACTTTCATGCACCATGCGTCTTCTGGGGATACTCTCGAGATTCTCCCAAAAAGAAGCAACTAAAAAAAAAGCTTTGGAAGACGGCGGCATTACCCTCCTCAACACGTCAGGCCAATACACAAGAATTGGTAAGGCGAATAAGAATAATACATCACCAGA